TTGCCTGCCGACCGGCAACGGTACATTGCAAAATTAACTGTAATAGGTTATGATTGCCCTTACTTAATTCAAAACTGGGTCAATGACCCAACCAAATGGCCGGAGGTGTCGTTTCCAGACTATTGTTATCTGGTTGAATCTCCAGGTAAAACATCGCGGAAGCTACCGACAACACAAGCCTATTACTCAATCAACTTGCGTATAAGTTTATATAAGTCCATAAAACCATGTCACTTACCAATTATACGTATGCTTCACTCCAAACTAGGCCTATTAATCCTTTTGTAAAATGGTGATCAGTTAGTAGCTACGAAGTTGCAGAGGGACTTTGCTGACAGTTATCCGAATTCTCACAGACTGCAGTCTGATAACCTTCAGCTGATGTGACTGAGACATCCCTTATGAAAAATAACTAAATGAATCTTGTAGTATTTTAGGACAAAATATTATAGTAACGTTAATCCTATAGGAATACTATAGTATTTGGGGACATAGCCTAGAAGTATAGATGTATTAAAGAACATCACAGAAGTATTATACACTACTATTGAGAATGTGGAGCTGACGTCCACGACTGTCCGCGTCTGGGTACCAGTCCGCGTTGCATTGTGGGAAGGATTCGCTATCTTGGTTGGATACGCTATCCGTTGTCATGGTTACTTCGGCAGTGAGACCGAGAGAAATAGCGGCAGAGAGAAAGAGAGCAGCTTGATATTTGTTTCTATTTTTGTAGATAAGGAACAGTTTCTTGAAAACAAATGAAGAAGGGGGAAGCAAAAGGAAAGTGGCTCTATCGGGAGAGCATAAATTACAACACCAAGCAGCATTATAGAGAAACGACTTGACAACAACATGGACCCGAACGACCTGCTACAGAATGGACGAAAGACCCGAAGCACTTCCACCTTTCACATACCCTGACAGAGTCAATTACCTGGTTTATGGTATCAGTGCCTAACGTTACTGCCTACACAATGCAAAGGAAGAGTTCAGAAGCTTATGAACAACTCAGCCACGGCTGGGTGCAAGACTAGAAACCCCCAAACCTGTAACATTAAACTGCGAGAGTTCAGTCATACTTGATGTTTCAGGCCTCATTCATATGTGAAAATACATCTGATATGAATCATCAGATACGTGCATTTGCAACCGGCAGTGCAACATCAAGCGAACATATCGGACATTCTCGTCAATGCGAGTCGTATGTCATTAAAAAAGTCTTTTTAAAACATTTCACGGTACAGATATATCTATAACAAATTAAACAACTATAGTTGAATAACAGAGTAGCTATTAATTTCGTTCATCTGTGTTAAATAAAATATGAACTGTGCTGAAATGTTCCTTTTGAAATCATTCTTTGCTCCTGTTGCTGCTGTCAGTTTATTGGCAAGCAGTTTTTCTAAATAAAACTGGCTAGCATTGATATTTAGTCTCTCCCGATAGAGCCCCTTTCATTTCTCTACCTTCTTCCCCCTATATCTTCCAAAGAAACTGCTGTGGTGTATATCGCTAAAATTTAAACATGCTGCGCTGCGCTGTCTCTCTATGAAGTTCTGAATGCGTCGCCCCTGGCAACCGATAGCGTCTCCAACCATCATGGCCGACCGGCTCAGACCCCGCCCAAATCGGCACGTGACTCCTCACTCTCAATAGAATACTAATAGCCAGCTGATTACTATAGTTCTTTTTCATAAGGGATGTAACGTCAGACAAATCTGGCCCACTGCCTAATACGAGTTAAACATCTACTACTATATCACACAGGGATCTCTACTCACACAGTAATCTAATAAGATATGATTAATTTTGTCCTCCTATCCGGTTCTGTATGTTTCAAGTTTCAAGTTTGTGTTTATTTATATAGCACATTTAAAAACAGCAAACAAGGCTGACCAAAGTGCTGAACAATACACATGATGAAGAGAAAAAAGAAAAGACAGAAAATACAAGGACAAACCACACATTCATAACAAAAACTCACAATGAGCTAAAAGCTAAAGAAAAAAAAAATGTTTTAAGAGAGGATTTAAAAACAGTTAAAGATTGAGAAGCTCTGATATAAACTGGAAGGCTGTTCCAGAGCCTAGGGCCAGCAACAGCGAAGGCTCTGTCCCCTCTATTCTTTAGCTGTGATCGGGGGACAGACAGTAGACTCTGATCACCAGACCTCAGGGATCGTGTGGGGTTGTGTGGGCAGAGTAGCTCAAACAGATAGCTTGGTGCAAAGTTATTTACAGATTTAAAAACAAATAAAAGAATTTTATACTCGATTCTAAAATGCACAGGTAGCCAGTGTAGAGATTTTAAGATAGGTGAAACATGATCAAATTTGCGTTTTCTTTTGAGGAACTTTGCAGCAGCATTTTGAGCTAGTTGGAGACGAGCAATAAAGTGTTTGGGTATGCCAAAGTAGAGAGAATTGCAATAATCCAACCGTGATGTAATGAGCGCATGAATGGCAATCTCTAGTGTTTTCTCAGAAAGGGAAGATTTAATTTTAGAGAGAAGGCGTAACTGAAAAAAGCAAGCACTAATCACCGTATTGATTTGTTTTTCAAATTTGAGGTTTGGATCCCAGAGAACGCCAAGGTTCTTGATGCAAGATGACTTTGGATCAAGATAGTTCAGATCAATGTTGCTGCTATCATAGTTGTCATGGGGGCCAAAGACTATAACCTCGGTCTTGGATTCATTCAGGAACAAAAAATTTTGAGAAAACCACATTTTTACTTCCTCTAGGCATGCAAAAAGAGATTTTAGAGCAGTCTCTTTGTTGCGTTTCAGAGGGAAATAAATTTGTGTATCATCTGTATGTATGTAAGAAAGGCTGTAGAACTTCAATTTATAATTTGTTAGTTTATTGGTGGTACAGAAAACGACACAGCATGATTGTCGCATGTATTTCAATGAGCGCCAAGGCAATGTTTTCCCCCACGGGCTAAATTCACATCACGTGACATCACGTTCCCGGGGGCGTTCCCAGACCAACCGACTGTATCTATTTGACAATGCTTTTTCTCAAATAAAATTATGAAAATGCTCATTTTTTAAAACCAGCATATCGACTGGTTTAATATTAAACAGCAAAATTATGAAAATGCTCATTAGGCGTTCTCTCAGAGCAGTCCTGGAAATTGGCCTATTCGTTTGTGAGACGCTGAAAACAGCATGAGCGCGTCGCGTAGGCTACTTGAGTCAGTGTAAGTAAACGAAACAGCATCTCATTCACACAGAGACAACAAGCAACACGGAAACGGAACAAGCATATATTATATATTTACAAAGCAGTCTTTTGTGCTTTAATATTCACAGATCATGTCGCGATTTGATTTATTGTACAGCTTTACTTTCGATGTGTTCACCCATACTAGTTCACCCATACTGTGTTTTAGGTGACAGCTGCATTATACTGTAAATTCCATTTTTTTTCTATGACCAGGGATTCACATACCGGTATGTGTGCGAGCGAGATTTCGACAGCATTTCGCGTTCAGCTGGGTCTGCATCACTGTCTGTCTTGTCCGTCACCTTCTACATACTGTTTTGTGATTTTAGCGTGTCTGTTCTCCGGTTCTCTCGTAGTTTCCGGAGCGCGATGTTTTCACCCAAAGCATTTTATTTTTTTTTTGTATTATTTTTTTTTTACTCAGTAACGGATATGTTTTAAAACGTAGCGAATTACAATACTTCGGACAAAACATACTTAAAGCCACAATATGTATTGTTTCTGCTTTAAAAATAGCAAAAATGACTGTATGTTATATATTTCTATTAGATGTGTACTTACATTATCCCTACAGTTTCCACCAACTTTCAAATACGGAGAAATTTATACTTTAATTCGAAGACACGTTCCTTTATTTCCGTTTCGTCGCCCGTCTATGGCGTCATATAACCTTTGACTCCTCTATTTTCTCTAACTTCCTTGCGGTGTCTGTTAAGAGCGCTGTTAAGAACAGTGTCTGTTAAGAGCGCTCACTCTTAACAGACACTCCCCGGTGCTGCTCGCGCAACACAGAATGTTAATAAAGCGCTCCCCGTTCACAGTAACCGGGTGGTCTCATTCAAAACAGCCAACTGTTGCTGTTAGCGAGCCGCGCACATTGAATACTCATATGAGTCAGGCTGCGAATGTACGTGCCCGCTTCAGCGCGCTCATGCTTACTAAATAAACGCCTCACCTCCGGCGCCGCGCACTCACTACATTCCCTTTAGCCTTTAGCACATAGTGGATGCATAACACAAACCCAGTCAAACGTTTGACTGCAGTATCTTATGTGCTTTATAGTCCGGTGCGCCCTATATATGAAAAATGTTCTAAAATAGGTCATTCATTGAAGGAGCGTAATATAAATATTTATATTCGTCTGTATTATAGTTATGAACCACGATTACGCTTTCCCTGCACGTTCTGCTGCTACAGCCAGCTCAGTAAAGCTCAAACGTACGGGTGAAAAATATGACCTGAGAAGGGTTTGGGACAGAAAAAGCATGACACACAGACAGATTACAGATTTTTAAAAACATTACAGATTTTACTAAAAATAGTTTTTACTTTTAAAACTACTTAAAAAGTAGAAGTACACAAAAAAACTACTCAATTACAGTAGCACGAGTAGGCCTAAATTTAATTCGTTACTTTCCACCTCTGCAAATTGCACACATCACCTTTAAATTCTTAAAGGTGGCACTTTAAAAAAATCAACAACTCAATTATACATGAAGATAATCAAATTTAAAATAATAAAATACAGTTCAGAAACTGCCTAAAAAACAATATCTAAACACACATCAACACTTTTATAATCTACACGCAAGCTCTTATTTTACAAGAACATGAAGCCCAGCAACAATGGCCATTAAGCCTGTTACACATCACACACACACACACACACACACACACACGCACACACGCACACACGCACACACGCACACACGCACACACACACACACACACACACACACACACACACACACACACACACACACACACACACACACACACACACACACACACACACACACACACACACACACACACACACACACACACACTGTGCATAAGCAGCAGTGTAACAGCAGTAGAAGGTGCTATACAGAAAATACAGTAGTTTCTTTGTTTTAGCTATTATAAAATGGCTATTGCTGTTGTTGGGTCATTTTAAATTGTTAAAAACTTGATTGTGAAATCAAATTTCCATGATGGGGGGTGGGGTATAGCAATAGATTCAAATGACAATTTATCTACTCAGAATGGAACAACAAATATTCAGTCAAGATTTCAGATTTAGAGTAAAAAGAAAAAAATAGGCCTGGTTTGACAGGTTTTAGATTAAGTCAGGCCATAGTTAAATTAGGACAATTATAAATGTGCCTAAGAAAAAAAACAAAAACATTACAGGTATGTACATTACTGGTGTGCATATTACTTTTAAGATATGTCAGTACAAGTTGCTTTAAGTTAAGACAGCTCAAACATGCATTTTAGTCTGAGACTAGGCTTGAGCCTTGTCTGTGAAAACGGCCAATTGCGATTTTTTTGTGTGCGTCTTTCACTGTATGTGGAACTTGCGCCAAAGCAGAAAGAAAACTTTTTCCCCCAAACATTGCATGCACAAGTAATTTGCTCCATGTTACAAACAATTGTGTGGCAAAAATAGGCTCAATGACAAAACTGTACTTTCATCTATGCTTATATGACTGTGCTGCTTATACACACAGTGTAAATGATGTACTAGCTGTTAAACGGGTAGTTCACCCAAAAATGAAAAATCTGTCATTAAATGCTCACCCTCATGTTGTTCCAAACCCTTTTCGTAAGACTTTTGTTCAATTCATATGGATTAGTTTTATGATCTCTTTATGAACTTGAAGAAAGTTGCATAGCTGTCTATGGAGGGACAGAAAGCTCTCAGATTTAATCAAAAAGATTAAGTTCTGAAGATGAACGAAAGTCTTACAGGTTTGGAACGACATGATGGTGAGTGATTAATTAAATAATTGTAATTTTTGGGTTAGCTCACACCCTTTAATATGGGTACTGGAATAACTATGCATTGCTTTTGTGTGTGGTGTTAAACAGGCTCTAGATTCCACAAACCAATGGTTCTTAACCCTGGTCCTGCACCCCCAATGAGACATACAAAATGTGCAGTGTTTTTGGGGGTGGGGGTGGCAGGAAGCACTGCCATACACAATGGGCCTTAAAAAAACAGACAGAGCAAATGTCTGTCTAAATCATTTCTAAAACTATTCTTAAATAAGTTTAAATGAGTGTATTGCATTAAATGCAACTATTTAGAAAATAAATTTAAGGACAATTTACACAGCGTTTTATTATTGAACTGACTTTCACCACTTCAATATACTATATTAAATACACAGCCTAAAATTCATTCATTTCTTACAATGCAGACCTTTCAAGTAATTCATAAATTTTCAGTCTTTTCTGTGCTGCATTTTAGTTAATCTGTCGGACACCTACATTCCAGTTGTTGTTCCCTGGACTCACATATAGGCTTCAAGTGTCCTTCCTGTCACTGACCTCCTGCAGTTGGGTGGCTGGCAGGTTGCCTGGATTTTCTAGAAGGGAAATAGGGGTCTCCTTTGCTCCAGTTTGCTCCCTCTCACGTCTTGTGATCCCTCTGCTGCTTGCCTTCGAAGACACTGTCTGACCTCGGAACAACTGAGCCCGACGCTGACAGAGACCCACTTTACTGAGCAGTATAAAGACATCTCCCTGGAAGGCCTTGGTGAAGATGGCATAGAGGAATGGGTTAGCACAGGAATTCAGAGGGTAAAAGAGCACCAAGAGGATCTTGGAGTTTGAGACAGTGATGAGTGGGTGGTCCAACGCAGCTGTCATGGCATACAACGAAATGGGTGCCATGCAGAGGAAGTCGGTAAAGATGAGTACAGCCATACGCTTGGCAATGTTGGTGTCTTTGTTGGCAGACTGATGACTGGGGTTGTGAACAGCACAATAGATCTTGATGTAACACCCACAAATTACTACAAAAGCCAGGATGTTAAGAACAAGTACACATAGGATGTAGATCTGGTCCACAAGTGTCTGGGTGTCCATGGGCAGACAAATGCTGACCTTCTGGTAGCTGCTGACCCCAATGAGAGGCATAAGAGCCAATAGGAGGCAAAAGATCCAGCCAACCAGCATGATAACTGAGGCATGGGACAGACGCAACTTACGGTCCAGCCGCATGGCGTAGGTGATGGCATACCAGCGTTCCAGGGTAATAGTGGTCAGTGTGTAGACCGATAGTTCACTGGCAAAGACGGAGAAGAACCCAGCTAGGTTGCATCCCGGACCTGTCTGCCAATCAATAGCATGATTATAGTATTCAGATCGTGTGTGGAGGTCCACGGAAGCAATGAGCAGCAGATAAATGCCCATGCAAAGGTCAGCAAAGGCCAGGTGGCACATTAAAAACCTTGAGACAGACAGTTTGTAGTGGCTAGTGAGCAGCACCAACAGTACAAACAGGTTGCCCAACACAGCAAGCAAACTGACAAACCACACAGACACTCTTAGAAAGCTGAAACCCATTATGTCCTCACAAGGGTTGAACTCATCAGAAGCAGGGAAACAAGCAACCTCCTCTCCCTCCTCACACACAATGTAGTCATAGCGACTGTCAAACTCATGGCTGGTGTCTTCCTGGGGGTTCTTCAGTGTTTCACCAAAGCCCACATCATCATCTGGGTGTCCGCCAAAGTAGGTGTGGTAATGCAGGCTGCTGTAAAAGTCCTGGTGGTCGTATGTGTCTCTGAAGAGGTTATCTCCCGAGTCAATGCCAGGTTCCATGCTGCTGTGCAGGCCAGGAAATGTAAAAGTTCCAACAGATCTCTTTTGATGTTGATTATACCTGGCAGTCAGGTTACAAATGATGTCCTCTAAGTACCTGCCATTCAAAGAGCAAAAAAATCATTTTGTTTGCATGCCAGAAAATACACATTGAAAAGATAGGTCTTAAAGCTTTTTGCATTTTGACTACATCTAGCCTAATATTTAGAATCTTTCATAAAACTAGACAACCAATTATATGACACAGTTCAGTAATTGTCAAAATTCTACATGGATTGGAATCCAGATCTTTACTCATTTAACAAACACTCATATTTTCTTATTTATTTTTGCAATGAATAATCAAGGCCACAAACCCCCTTTTTTTCTTCAAGTTCTTGAATGCACAGCAGTGGCTGGGGTAGGTCAGGTCTGCAGTAATTAGGTGTCTGAAGGTTTTGATCGGTGGTAGTTTTTTGAGGGCCCAGGCATTCCGAGCACAGAGTTCCCGAAGTGACTCCAAGCCTCTGGTTGGGAGGGAAGTGACAGCCGATTCTGAAACATCACTAATAAGAAAAAACAAAACAAAATAGACTTTCAAAGAAAGACTAAAGCAGCGTTTCCACCGCAGGAACTTTCCCCAGGAACTAGCGACTTTGGAGTGGGACTCGGTGTGTTTCCACCGCAGGAACCAGTGCTTAAATTAATGGCGCTTTTCCACTGCTGGTACAGCTCGGTACGGCTCAGTACGGTTTAGCTCAGCGCGGCACGGTTCGGCTCGCTTCGCTTTTCCACTGCGTGCACGTGGTAAAACCATGGTAAAACACGGCTCGACACAGCACAGCTCGGTTAGCTTTAGCTCGGTTGCTTTTCCACTGCAGTTAGTACCGCTTTAAAGGGGGGGTTGACTGCTTTTTTTCTTTGCATGATTGTGTTTATGGGGTGCAATATAACATCTATTCGTGGTTTTTCATTTTAAAAAAGTCTTATTTTTCATAAACTCAGTCTGTGTATGTATAACAATTACTTTTGTTACGTTATGTAACATAAATTGTTAAGTTATGTAACAATTACAACACATTAAAGGGTTAAAAGCAGTGGTTTTTCAAAAGCTTTTGCCAACATCTTGACATTTTGTAGACCTCTTAAGATACTTTTAAGACCGTGGACATGTAATAAAAGCATAATGTTCAGTTGCATTGATATAATACCTATGAGAACTATTACTAGTGTTGTTGTAAGTGCATTTTGTCTCCATTTGTAAACAGTTTATTTTTATATGAAAGTGAGCAGGTGGAAAAAAAAAAAAGGATTACAAGGCTACTATGCCATAGGCCTTGCAGAGTAAATGTAGCCTTAGGGTAAGCCTGTGGGGAGACATTTTTTAGTTACATTTTACTTTGGACTTTCACTGGAACAGGGAGCAGAAGAAACCAGGTAAGTAGTTTTAGTATTTCTCAAAGAATCTAATTTCCCACTGCCGATTTTGATTTTCTCATTTCGCAAATACCCCCTCCCCCCCACCCAAAAAAAGGGAACATCACACCCTGAGAGACAAAATTATCCATTATAAAATGAGTTTGTTGTTGTTTCTGTTTTAAATCGATGTTCCAAAGAGTATTGTGCAACATTAGTTTAAAATTAAGTTAAAAAAATAAAGAAAAGGAAAGAAAGAAAAAACACTTGCAGCCTGCTTGTCTGATTTTGTCATTTTGAAATAGTTAGCCAGTGACCTCATAGCAATGATTTCACACTAATCTGACTCCTGAGAGGGTAGCTGAGGGGCCACATTATTAACTTATTAAAAACTATGATTTCAGCAGGCCCACATAGCAGTCAGATAAGACATTACTATGCTCAACATTCAGACGAGAATATATTTGTGCACTTACAGAACAATTGTTCCGAGAGAGTGCAAGCATTAGAAAATGTTTTCTATTAAGAGTGTCAAAGAATAGACGTGTTGTTTTTGTGCTACCTGTTCCCAAGAGCGACCTACAGACACTGAATCTCAAGTGCTTTCAGGAGAAACAAAAGGCACTCACAGGAGCATTGGCCCACTGCTAGTCCCAGCAAACATTCTCTCATCTAGCCTTGTCAGCTGCTTATTTCTATGCAGGTACCTGGAAAGAAAAGGAGTAAAAACGTCCAGTTAGAAGATTATAATATCATGTTACTAAATGTTACAATTAAATAATAGATTTGTATGTGGTTCTTGTTAAGGCACAAACAAAATCCAAATCCAATCCATTTTGTAGGGTATTTGTTCCCGTAATATTTGTGCTATTGAAATTAATAATACCTGTGCTGCTTGCTGAGAAGTGCAAAGTGATCATAGTTATAACTTGTAACTAATTTGTTATAACAGGTAGGTGGTAAAAGGGCAAAAATCCTATAGATTTATATTAAAAAGGATTATAATCACAAAGGACAACAATATCATTTTTGGGGCCACTATTAACACTATTAACAGCCCATTCTCACCCCCAAGGCGTCACTTAACTGACGCCTTGGGAAGCATTTGGACATGCTTCAATATCTGACGCTTTAGGCGGCCTTTAGCGTCAGTTAGATGACGCCCTAGGATCGCGTGTACCCTACCCCCACCCCACACCTAAACCTAACCGCGTCCTCTAACTGACGCTTTCCTTTAGCGTCAGTTAGATGACGCCGTAGGATCGCGTCATGTAAGTGACGCTAAAGGGCGCCTAAAACGTCAAATATTGAAGCATGGTCAAAGGTGACGCCTTGGGGTGAGAATGCGTTGCTATTAACAGCTGCTTCATTCAATACACTACAAAATGTTTTAGGATTTTTAGATCATTTAAATGAGACCAAAATATGAATACAATGCTTGGTAGAAGGGTCCACCTTTATAAGCAATTTAGCAATCTAGATACTGAGTTTTACTATTGCAGTTTCATTGGTTGCATCTGTCCTGGTTAAGCAGTCCAATGTCAACATACAAAAGCACAAAGAGATTACCAGGAAATTACAACCTAAGGGAGTTAAAGATATGGGGGGAATGACACTAATATCCCTTATTCTCAACAGAAAACCATTGGGAGCAGAGGTTAATGACACAAGTATCCAGATTTGTGAAACATCAATAGTAAATAATGGTGCTCCCCAAAGTGTTCTTTCCTTAAAGACCCCCTGTGGTTTTTCAAATTGTTTATATGTGGTGTTATTAATATGCTCTTTAAGACAATCCATGAGCAAAATCACGTCAACACCATTGCTGAGTATTTTCTCCTTAAAACTGCAGTGAACCAAAGATAATCTTTGTCTTTGCTTCACAAAAATGCAGTTTGTTTCGCCGGTGTTTCTTACGTCTTGTAACCAATCAGGTCAACGTGTGGGCAATTGTATGGCAAGATGATCCGCTTAAAGGGATAGTTCACTTTGAAATACATTTTTGATATGTTTTAGCTTACCTCAAGGGCATCCAAGGTGTTGGTGTCTTTTTTCCCCACAGTATTTTCAATTTTGATATTTTTAGGTCAAACCGTTCTTGTCTGTCAGTCATATAATGGAGGTATATGGGGTCCACCTCAAAGAGCATGCACAGAGAAGTCCAAATTAAACATGATTTAATGACTCGTAAATGTAAGTACACACTGATGGCCTAAGACACAAAACGAGCGGTTATCAATGTGTATCAATGCAACGAGAGCAGACAGAAGCGCCCTTTCCCTCAGAGTACATGGACGTGACTGTGATTACAAGAGGTAAAAACGATATAAATACTGTTCGTTTTCTTACACAAACCACTCGTTTCGTGTCTTAGGCCATCAATGTGTACTTACATTTACGAGTCATTAAATCATGTTTAATTTTGACTTCTCTGTGCATGCTCATTGAGGTGGTGACCACAGACCTGCATTATATGACTGATAGACAAGAACGGTTTGACCTAAAAATATCAAAAATTTAAACTACAGTGGAAACAAAGACACCTACATCTTGGATGCCCTTGAGGTAAGCTAAAACATACCAAAAATGAATTTCAAAGTGAACTATCCCTTTATTCTTCAAAGGATTCTTCAAAGGGTTTCTTTTAAAAATAATATAACATTTTGGAATTAAATTTAGGTGAGTAAACAATTATTTAAATTATTTTTTATTTTTGGGTATTCATTTTTTTTTATTTTTCTGTTCATGACCAATGCTTCATAAATGTGGTACATCAAACTTGTATTTATGTGACTTTAGATGAACTTTCAGCAGTTCATGTGTTATATAAAGAAGTTAATAGTTTTTTATAAAGAAGTTTACACTGAGTCCAGCTTTGTGCCATTGAAAGCATGATGTTTGACCTTTGTAATGCCATTGCTGTAGAGCCTCCTGTTGAATGAAAAGCAAGAAATAACAGTCATGGCCTCATACAAAATTATTGCTAATAACAGTATCTACTTCTGGCTCAGAATATATCAGTACATGTTTAAAGAGCCGACATGGAGATGCTCTTCATTTATATTTGTAACTAGAACGGGATTACAAATTGTCTTCTGATAAAAGGATCTATTTTCATTTAACTATATACAGTAGTTAAACAAAGCCAACAAATGACAGTTCAATACATCTTTCTTTGATAGCATGAAAAAATGTGAAAATAAGGGACATGTGACAATACTTACACTGACAGCAGATCATTGGTAATGCCAAGAAAAGCATTAGTTGGAATTTCAGCAATATAGGGATTATCACTGATTTCTCTGGAGGAAAAGCACAAATAAATTAAAAAGAACACCTTCAAAAAGCACGGATCTGTATGGAAACTGCAGCATTAGAACACTTCTCACAGTAGGAAGTATGAGTCATCAGCCTGGATATTGGTCAGGGCAGGGAAGATGGTGAGGCCTGTGTTGAATAAGCCTCTGCGAACACAACACCTCCAGGATATCAGTCTATGGGCTTATGCATTGTCTACTAAGACATATTTCTGGATTTGCACCCAGAACCAGTGCAAAAAATGTGGAGACTGTATATGAAGAGTTCAGATGCAAAAGCCTCTAAATGCCATTTGAAATGTTCTTCTTTAATGATGATTTTGATCAAACTTGTATATTTAAGTTCAGTAATTTCTCTTAAATAACAATTAATAGGTAATTATCATTGCCATTTAAGTGAAATCACTGAACTTAAATATACAAGCTTGATAAAAATGATCATTCTAGAAGAAAATTTCAAATGGCACTTAGAGGCTTTTGCATCTGAACTCTTCATATATAGGCACACTTATTAATAATACGATAATAATATGAAAAATCATTTTGACAAGAAAAGCTAAACTGTGTATTATAAAAATATATTTCAGATAATTAATTTCTGGAATTAAAAAAAATGTTATTTTTTTGTATACCTTGTGCAAGTTAATTCCTTGATTTATGCATAAACCTCACTAAAAATCAATATATGATTTGCAGGCAAAACAAATGACAGATATGGACAGTCTTTTGCTTACAAATACTGCAAATTAGGGAGATTCTTTAAAGCCTCTGGATGGATGAATGTCAGATTCCTTGTGTTCCTTATTTCTCTGAAAAGAGGGAGAGAGAGAGAGAGAGAGAGAGAGAGAGAGAGAGAGAGAGAGAGAGAGAGAGAGAGAGTGTGTGTGTGTGTGTGTGTGTGTGTGAGAGAGAGAGAGAGAGAGAGAGAGAGAGAGATTTATTTCATGAATTGAAAATGCACATTTTAAAGTGCAGTGTGGAATGTATTAGAATTGCTGATGAAAGAGTTATGAGCCTAAAGTATTTTACAGTACCAAGGACATTATGATTAAATGTAATAGAATTAATTTCACAATATTTCAGCAGATGATGGGAATAACAGTTCTTCGATTTCATCTGCTCATGTTCAAGTTACTCAGCCAGAGTAATTGAAAGCATTTTCTGGTACAATAAGTGAAACCCAAACAAAGAATGGGCAGGACAAGTCACTAAAATCTTTGATGGACAAGATATTACCAGATGGGTGTATTTAATCTGGGATTCAATGAAAAACACTTTCACTAAAAAAAAAAAAAAACAAGCACACAAACACAAGAAACAAAGTAAAATTACAATTTATGCAACTCTTAAAAAGCTTCAGTCATTATTTAAAATCAAGTATAAATGTAATTCAAGAAAATTAAAGGGACACTCCACCCATTTGCATGAAGCTTTCCATTGTTAGAAACCAAGATATACTATTGAATGGTCATGCAACACTCTCTCATTTTCCCCTGAGAACAGAGAAATCTGCTATTTACCTTTTTCACTTCCTCCTGCAATGACGCATAAATCGTCATTTTACGTCATTGTAGGAGGAAGTGTAAGAGGGGGGGATTTCTGTAAAGACTACAAGCACCAGATCCCACCCAGGGCCGTGCACAGACATTTTGAGGGGCAGTGGCCTTAGCCAAAAAAAAGGCACTAAGGGGGTTGCTTGTTAACACAAATTATTCAGTTATTGTTACAGTTTTACATTTTGTACATTATTGTTACAGTATTTTTTTTTACAGCAAAAAAGGATGGGGGGGGGGGGTGTACTTAGGCTATTATTTGTATTAGATCGAGAGAGTACAATAATTTGAATAGACAAGCAGCTAATTCTAAGAACGTGGATATGTTGTACAAGTTGTTAGCACTATAGACAGCCCATTCTCACCCCCAAGGCGTCACTTAACTGACGCCTTGGGAAGCATTTGGACATGCTTCAATATCTGACGCTTTAGGCGCCCTTTAGCGTCAGTTAGATGACGCCCTAGGATCGCGTGTACCCTACCCCCACCCCACACCTAAACCTAACCGTGTCCTCTAACTGACGCTTTCCTTTAGCGTCAGTTAGATGACGCCGTAGGATCGCATCATGTAAGTGACGCTAAAGGAAAGCGTCAGTTAGAGGACACGGTTAGGTTTAGGTGTGGGGTGGGGGTAGGGTACACGCGATCCTAGGGCGTCATCTAACTGACGCTAAAGGGCGCCTAAAGCGTCAGATATTGAAGCATGTCCAAATGCTTCCCAAGGCGTCAGTTAAGTGACGCCTTGGGGGTGAGAATGCGTTGCTATAGAAGACCAAGAGCAAAACATTACTGACATAAATGCACAAAAACAAACAAAAAAATAATGAATAATTTCGCAGATTCAACCGTCTATTATGGAAGCTTTCCGCCACTGAATAAAAAATAAATAAATAAATAATTGCGACTTTTTATCTCAAAATTGTGAGATATGAAGTCAGAATTGTGAGAAATAAAGTCAGAATTGTGTGATATAAAGCCAGAATTGTGTGAAATAAAGCCAGAATTGCGTGTTATAAAGTCGCAATTCTAAGAAAAAACAAACAGAATTGCGATTCTGACTTTATAACACATAATTGCGAGTTTATATGTCGAATTTCTTAAATCTTTTCTCAGAATTGTAAGATCCTACTCGCAATTGCGAGTCTCAAGCCAATTCTATGGGGGAAAAAAATACTAACTTTTCCCCCTCAGAATAGTTTATATCTCACAATTGTGACTTTCTAACACGCAATTCTGACTTTATTACACACAATTGTGACTTTATAACACCCAATTGTGATTTTATATTACGCAAATCTGACTTCATATCTCGCAATTCTAAGAAATAAAGTCGAGATGAACTCGCAATTGTGAGATTAAAAGTTAGAATTGTGAGATAAAAAGTTGCAATTGCCTTTTTTATTTTTCATTCTGTGGCGGAAACAAGCTTCCATAGTCTTGCATAGCCTACCTGTTAATGCAACAGCTTTCGTGAACTGTCGTATTCACTATCTCAGTTTAAAGAGAGGGCCGCAGACATACGCTGCGGAGTCATAGAGCGGAGTGCGGACTGCGGAGCGAGCGGGAAAACCTGGAGCGGATTAGCGGAATCAATGGAATGCTTTGAGCAAAGTGGAGCAAGTGGGCAGGAGGGGCACCTCAGTCGATGAGGGCAGAGGGGCAGTGGCTCTAGCCGGCCATCCCCCTGTGCACGGCCCTGATCCCACCCTTTCAAACCTGCCGAATGGGGGTTGGACCTAATGCGCTAACAGACCTATCAATGTACTGAATACGCAGACGGATGCATTATGAAGGATTTGGATTACACATAGTGTCAGCCATCTTTTTTGGAAGCTAAGCTAGCAGGCTCTTGTTCTGTGGAGAAAGCGGTAACTTTAGGAGTTACCGTCCTCTTTTTCCCGGACATGTCCGGCCGTCTATGTCCAGGATTCAGCTTTTGCTTTCTGCAGTCGCCATTCATTGTTTACATGCACAGCTTTTGTTTCAATCTAACTGAATTCATTCTGATTGATGACTCTGAATGTAGTGTTTAAATGAACGATAAAAAAGTGACCGGTTGATGTGCGTTTTAACATTGCTAAGAAAATTCCAGCTCCTCAGTGAGAGATACGAGACCGGTGTTTCTCACAGGTGTCGCTCATCGGTAATCACGCCACCGGCCTCGCACCGTTCTCCCGCAGCCCTCACTCGTCCTGCTCGCCATAGTAAACATGATGAATGGCGACTGTAGAACGCAAAAGCCGAATCCCGGACATTTTGGCCAATCTCGAAACACATTATCGGGCAGACTCATCACGGAGACTCACTAGTAGCCTTCACTGTTGTTTACCTACTGCACGGTTACCGGTAGGCGTGGCCTCCTTGGGCAGCGAAGCAAATGCATTCTGGGAGTGGTTGTCTTTCATCCATATAGGCCAAAAATACATTTTCTAGCTTTTCTCAGTCTAGAAAGCTCCAAATTCAAAAATAATTTCACATTTCTTCTATATAAATGACCAATTTTAAATACACATCCATCTTTCCAGAGGTGAAGTGACCCTTTGAACAAAAGAGATTTAATGATGAGATGTGATGACATTTCTAACAAACAATGAACTGTTTGTGTCAGTAATGATAATTAAGGAAATACAATTATTTAAAGTTTTAAATAATTGTTACACTTTATAGTACATTATATTATGTACCTTGGTAATGTAACGGTTACCAGCTGGAGTGCCCTATTGAGCCTCCAGAGGGCACTCCAGATAAGACTATGTTTCACACAAACTACAGTTCCCAGAACTCACTGCCCGGACTCATCATCACTGATCACATTCACCTGTACCTCATTCACTATTGCATTCACCTGTCTCATCTTGTTAGTCTGGCTATATATACCATGTTCATTCAGTCACTCACTGTGAAGTCTTGTTTAAGTGTTACACTGCAATTCTGAGCATTCTATGGTTTTCTTGTCTCTTGGTTTTTGGATATCTTGCCCTGTTCCCTGGATTACTCTCTTGCATCTGGTCCCTGCCTGTTTTGTTTGTTTCTCTGTGTATCTGTCTTGGACTGCCTATCTGTGTATGACCCTTGCCTGTACATTGGATTACGCCTCTGGATTGCCCTCAAATAAAGCTGCATTTGGATCTTAACCCTCTCCTCAGAGCACTTCGTGACAGGTAAATATTATCAAAGATGGCAGTAAAAATAAATCTGCATCGTTTATCCTTTTGACCTTTTATTCAAAATATTTGCAAAAATCTAACCTTTCATTGAGGCAAAATAATTGAAAGTGTGTGGGGTGGGGAGATGACGGGACCCCATTTTGAAATAAATGCTTTTCTCCCAAAAAAAAAAAAAAAATTGGCCATATTTATTGAAACCCTTTTATTAAGTAGGCTACTTTTTGCAACCTCCTTTTGCCAAGATAACAGCTCTGAGTTACCTTTCGAAATGGGAACTCGCACTGCGTCCTGAGACGCTTATGGGGAAATCGAATCATGGCAATCGTCTTGGTTAGCAACAGCCTATGACATCATACTAGTGCGAGCAGGATGTATATAAGGGGTGCTAGAACATGTCATCTGCTTTTAGTCTTTAGGGATTGGACGAGTTTGAGAGAGGAGTGAATCTCTTGCATGCTTCCGCCTCTGGCTCAGCGAACAGTGCTCTACAGGCACCATGCCAGAAAGAGCAGGAGATGCTGGTCGAGGGCAATATGAGCCCTCACCACTTTCCTGCCCCGCATGGAGCTATTGGGGGTTATGGAGAGCGCCTCAGGCAATAACCCTCCAGCTCCAGTGAGCCTTCCAGTCCTTCCTGATCTCCCAACGCATTCTCATCCCAAAGCGCCATATACAACGCTTTTGCAAAAGCGTAAATATCCAACGCACATGGCACCCTTTAACGTCTAATGAGACGCTTCGGTTATGGTTAAGTTTAGGTATGGTGTAGGGTAAGGGTTAGACCACTAGGGGGCACCTTCTGCCCAAATATATCTGCGTCTCATTTGACGTTAAAGGGTGTCATGTGCGTTGGATATTTACGCTTTTGCAAAAGCGTCCTATATGGCGTTTTGGGATGAGAACGGGCTCGATCTCCATACTGTAAAGGGAAGGGAAGAAACCGTATTCTGCCTGCATCCACCATATGTCGAGGGGATGCAGGAGCATGGATCCTTGGCGATGTCCCCAATCAACCAGATGTTTGCAAACTATCTCGGGGGTGGGGGGCATTGACCTTGAAAGCTCCAGCCCTGCCTACCAAGCCACTAAAGAACACAGCTGATTTGAAATGAGTAGCCTCGTTCAATTGTGTTCAGAACCCAGCTCGACACACCATAGATGGCTTCCCAAGCCTGAACCCAGGCGTTTTGGACGACAGATTGCTGCACCGAAGTGTCAACTAGTCTAGAATTAATAAGTCCTATACTAGTTGACACTTCAGGAATAATTTAGGATAATTCCGGTTCACGTGGCTTCGCAGACACGACAAAAAATTTGTATTATAATTTTTTAAGACCAGACAAGTAGTTTGTTGAGGGTTGTTTTTGTGAAGAAAGACTACACGCCTGCGCACATATGTATTTAAACGCGCATACCTATGGACTGAACACGGGATGCGCAAGTGCGCACCATCTGCGTTTCACGGGTTTGCGTATTTGAGGTTTGCGCAGAGATAACAGAAAATCATTTGCACCTTCAAACCTATTTCAGGGAGTGCGTTCTCGAGACACCAGGCACTGTTTTGTGTGGATGGGCGGTCGGAGCGCGTTAAGGGTTTTTTTGTTTAAATTGTGTCATGTTAGCAGCCCCTAAGTTAATAACTAATGATCTTTGCAACGGAAGTGAATCATTCAAATCAATTTAGCTGTACAATAACTTTATCCTAATGCTGTTGTAAAGCCTAAACCATCTGTTACGGTTATTTCTATTATAACTGTAAAGCTGCTTTGAAACAATCCATACTGTTAAAAGCGCTTTATAAATGAAGGTGACTTGACTAAGGCTTGATGCTCTTTTTCTGAAGGTGTTTGATTTTTATTCCCCCTGCTTTAGCAGCGGTGTATGCCCAGAATGGCAGGGCATATACGGCAGCAGGTCAGACTGGTGCTTCACTGCATACCATGGCAGTGCTTCAAGCTTACCAAGAAAATCTGCTGAAGGACTTTGATCAGGGTCAGGGTCTTCCCCCTAAAGCGGTATTCGAGCTGCTCCGCACCTTAGATCTGGCTCTCCGCGCCACCAAGTAGACTGCCTCGTGTCACGAAGGCTTGGCGGCTACTGTGGCAACGGAGAGGCACCTGTGGGTGCATCTGGCGGACATCATGGAGAAAGAGAAGGGCTTTCTCCTTGGGTTCCTATATGGTCCTATATGGTATATGGATAGCAGTTATAGGAAACACATCACCTGTAGTGAGTAGCAGCAGTGGATTGCATGTGCAAGTGAACTTTCAGTTCCAGTCCTAAACGCCGGAAATAAACAGGGGGTTTTGAAGACCAACTTTGAATTTCATTTTGACCTCTATAATGAAAGGGCCGCAGTTGTACAAGGAGCGGATCCAGATTTATAGGTCGCAGACCAGTGACACTGATGCTTTATTTGAGTGTGGTTAATCGGAATTTATGTATGGACTTCTGGATACTTTGACTTACATATGAGTAAGCTTTCTCAGGTTGTAGAAGGAATGCCTTTCTAATCTGCTCAAGGAGACATCCACAGACAGATAGCTGAGGAAAAAAGGGAGAAAATGCAGGTAAAATCCAGAGTTTTATAATAATACAAGGTTATTTCAAGTTGCAACCACCCAGCAGAGAGCATTGAACTCCTTTAAATCTTAATGATGAAATCCTCCCAAGTTTTCAGTCTTGGCTAGTGCAATTTCATAATGTATTCATGTAAGGATAAATGAGAGCAAATGTAGCACATTTAATTTAATTTATTTAACACAAACATAGGGTGTCAACGCATAGAAGTAAAAGTAGTGTGACCATACAACTTTCTGATTTTCAACAATTTTTCAAATGGAGGCAATTATAACACCCTGACTTCCTCAATGAAGTATTTCTCAATGTAAATATAAAAATAAAAGTTATTTATGTTGCCACATACAGTATTTTTCTTCAAATAAGGCATTTAAGTTGTTTGAATTATGAAGGAAAAAAACACTTGCTGTAGAATCCCCCTTCTTTACTTTGCCTATAATTTTAATCCAGCTCTTACACCCCAAAATGATTCCTAGTTATATACCTCAACAGTCAACTCAACATGACCCTAATACAGGAGTATTTGCTGATTCCTGTTTAGAAAATTAAGGTAAAAGTAATGAGCAAAAATCAAGTGCCAATGAAAAATATTTCAGTCTACCTTGCCACCAAACCCATAATTGTTTTGTATCATCTCATCTTGATGCTCACTCTCAGTAGTCACGTACACACTGCAGAGTTTTCAGAATGACAATCCTTTAAATTATTGTTCTGTGTATGTATGGAATTTGAGTCACTCTTTTACCCCCGATTTCTATTTAGAAGACTCCAATTTGTTTTCTATAATCCACACCTCGGGTCACCCCACACATACTGTACCACAGCGCACCAAGCCACATCTGTAACATTTTCAGGATAATTTTTAAGAACATTGAAATTGCATTTATGCCATAGTATTCATGCTTTAGAAATATATAACATTTAACTTTGCAGATAATGGAAATGTTTAAGAACCATAACGTTTAATTTATTCTAAAAGATCTATTAAAAAACAAACATCAAGATTTTAGTGAAATAATTTGTAATACATTTTTGTACTTACATTCTTGAGATATTGACCATATTTGCAAAAGCATCTTGGGGAACTGACGCCAGGCTTGTCTCGTAGAGACTTCTAGAAATGAAAAGATAATAGATATAGGCTAGATTTGTCTGAAGATTACAACTTATATTAACATTTACATACAATTACTTATATAAAAAATGTTGCAAATGCAATTTCAAAGAACATCATTAAAAACAAATATATTCCTACTCATTACTTATTAATTCTATTTTCCACATTTCCAAGTCTTCACTCTGTTTCAAATGATTTGTCTTCACTCTGTTTCAGCTGTTTATGACCACTATTTATTTTAAGCACACATTTAAGCTAAGCTATTAAAAACACATAGTGTACACTACAGTCTCTGGGTTCAAAGCATCCCCAATATTTGGAAAGCATCAACAACGAAGAAAAGATGAATCATTGTCTAAAATACCATTTTAGAGAGTAACCTATAAATTAAAAACAGGTGACAAGACATAAACAAACAAACAAACTGTCATGACATTTCAACTAAGACTTTTTGTATGTACACAAAAGGCCTATTTCTCTCAATTATTGTTCACAAATCTGTCTAAATCTGTGTTAGAGAGCACTTCTCCTTTACCGAGATAATCCATCCTGTGGCATATCAAGATGCTGATTAGACAGTATGATTATTGGGTGTGCCTTAGGCTGGCCACAATAAAAGGTCACTCGGCAAGGAAGAAGAGCTCACTAACACAGATTTTGACATTTTTTAACAATATTTGAGAGAAAAAGGCCTTTTGTGTCCAAGTCTTAGATCTTTGAGTTCAGCTTATGCAAAATGGGGGCAAAAACAAAAGTGTTTATAATTTTGTTCAGTGTATATCTAGTAAAATTTAAAGGGCTCAAAACATATAAGAAGAAAACATACATACTGGGTTCCATCCCTCCCCAATGAGGTCAGAACCTCACTGAACATTAAACATTTAGTCAAATAAACTAACAACTGATGGGATGTTACAACACAACGATCAGGGCCACAAACAGACAACTACAAAAGAATGGCACATTTTGCTGGAATTTAGTTTGTGTGTATGTGGTGGAAACAGTTTGTCTGTGACTTCGTACGTGTATATTATCACTGTATTATTCTGTTTGCTTTTGGCATTTGATGGCTTGGAAGTGGAAACGATGACATGTGACATCAGACTTAAAGGGTACATATCATGCTTTTAAATCATTCATTTTTACATATAAATCATACCGTTGTGGTCTATATAAAACATAACTGCAATGCTTGGGTCTGAATTCCTCATTATTATAGCTCCAAAACAAGCCCCTTTTCTACCCCTTCTCTGATGTGCGTCTTTGAGCGACCCGTTTCAAAGCGGCCCCTTTAAATAAAAAGGAGATGCGTCATACCCCGCTCACTCTCCAGGTCGATGAGTTCACGGTCGGTTCAACTACCCACGTTCGGCCATTATTGTAGTTTGATTAGAGATATACAATTATATACGATACCTTCAAAGAACATTTTTATTCACACGTTAATAAAATGTCAATAACAGAAGACTTGTCCATCAAACCTACTCGATACATATATTCGACCCAGAGCGAGCGAGTTGAAAAAGACGACGACGAACCTGCAGAACAACCTCTTCATATGGATGTATTGGTATGTGAGTTAACTGTTTTGTGTTATTAGTGAAAGTTGACTATTTCTCTTGTTAAAACAAACACACTGACAAGATAAATGACTACGGTCTAATCTTACCACAAAAAATCTGTATTGATAATATGATCCATTTAGAAAAGCATCAGAAAACACAGCAGCTAAATGACCATTGATGAAACTCAAGAACAATAATACTGCAGACGTGTAACGTTACTAAGAAAGACAAAGGTACTGCTAAACCATGACCACCATGTGTTTTAAGAAAGTAAAGTACTTTATTTTTATTAACGATATTTACAGCTTATCGAAATGCTCTGTTCGTCATCTCCAAAGATAGAAGAAATTTACCTATCATTCAGACGAAGTCAATCGGCAAACCCTTCTTTATACTGGCGGAGGTTGTTGAAGTGGGAATCCTTGACGTGCTTCAGGTCACTACATGATCCAACAACCGAATATTTTGACTTGCCCTCTCGTAACTTCTCCATTATTGAGCTCGGACTACAAAATCGGAGCGAGAAATAATAATGGTGGATTGCTCGAAGTGTTGGACCGGTAGTCAATGTGCTTTTTTGGCAGTTCCGCTGCAAATACGGTGACTCGATAGTTCAAAAAACGTCATAGAAAACAGAAAAATCTGAACAGGTTGAAAAATATGACCAAAACAGAATATAAAGATATAAACGAAGCACCTGAAGAGAATAATTTCATCTTTTCTGTACTTATAAACACTCCAAATATACAACAAAATGCATTTAAGGGCTAAAAAAGTGGATTTTGCATGATATGTCCCCTTTAACACTGTCAATTCATCAAAACCATGAAATAACACAACAGATGTACAATCACATAGTGACCAAGAAAATCTAAAATGAAAAATTAAATGATCCATATTAAACCAATTATTTACTGAAAATCTTTTCTTGCTAAAGTAAGATATTTGGAAGAATGTTTTAATCAAATAGATCTCATTCCCCATCCCCATATGGTAGTCAATGGGGAATGAGATCTGTTTGATTAAAACATTTTTCCAAATATCTTCCTTTGTGTTCAGCAGAACAAATAAACACATAGAGGTTTGGAACAACATGAGGGTGAGTAAATACTGACAGAATTTTCATTTTTGGGTGAACTAACCCTTTAAAGCTTTTTAAAAGTTGCAAATCTTGTAATTAGGTAATTACAACACGACATAAAAGCACCTAAAGGCCGGTGGAAATATATATATTTTTGTAATCAAGTGCAGGTATAACTAGACTGAGATTCTGGAAGAAAAACTGAGCTTGGATAGAGCTTCACAGGTATAACTAGACTGAGATTCTGGAGGAAAAACTGAGCTTGGATAGAGCTTCACAGAGGTCTTGAGGCAATTAAATTGTGATTGTAGTTACTGCCTGTTTTCTCCTTGAGTAAATGGAGCAGGTCTTTGAAGTGGTAAATTTAAACAAAATTGTGTGGATTTATCTGTGGCCAAATCAAACAAATATCTCACCTGTTTTTGCCATAGACAGGAAAATGCTGCCTCTTTAGCTTGTTTATGCAGACTAAAGCTACAACTTTAAATGTCGTAGAAAACATAATTAATCATGTTGTCAAGTTATCGTTGTTTATAAAAGTATATAAAGAAACTACTATGGTAAGGTGTTACCTTGTCAAAAATGGGCACTCATGAGTGTTTAAAAAATGGGCTAATTCGCAGCCCATATAGCTGGAACAGGTAGATAAAGGAAAAAGGAGAAAAAGACTACTTCGACAAAATAAACACATTCTATGACAGTGAACAGACGGTTACTTTATACCGCACCCCTGACCGGCCTGAACTCAACTTAAATCCAAATAATTGCACCACATTACAGTGAACATATGTGTGCCAATACTAGGCTTTAAGAAATGCACTCCCTCAATTTGCCTCTCAAGGAGCAAAACCTTCAAAGCAAACTAAGAAAATTAGGTGGTTTGGAGAGAAGTAAACCGACACAATTCATGAAGCTGTTATAAAGGATTGATTGATTGAAGAAGAACTGATTTCTATGACGTTCGGATTTAATTGCAGCTACCGAATGTGCATTCTTATGTAATACCGTATTCAATCCTGTAACACCAACATTTTTATCTTGTTGTGAGCCACAACAATACTGAATCTACAGCATGAAAAAACTTCTAACCAATGCAGTCATATTCTCTAACTTATGACTATATGAACGGGTTCTTCAAATTAATCAAACACCTGATTTTAGAGCACAATACAATATAAGTAGGGTGTAGGGCCTCCTTTTGCTGACAATAGAGCATCAATTCTTCTTGGGAATGACAGATACAAGTCCTTCACAGTGGCCAGTGAAGTGCCCCACTTTCCCCTATGTGAGATTCAACACATTTTTTCTGTTGTGTGACTGTGGAATTTCTTTGAATTTCCATGAATTTAATTCCACTTCATGTCATTCCAATAGGGGATTATCACGCTTCCGGGTTTCATGGGCGGGATTTGTTAACTTTGTGCATGTCCACTTCCGACGCAGTTCAACAATGGCGGAGACGAAGGCTATATACAGTATGTCACTGCTCTGTTCCACTTTGTAAATCTAACCAACAACGCCAACGCTAAGTTTTCATGGATTCCCGACTGAATTGAGTATAAGGAAGAACTGGATTAAAACTTTAAAATAAAACAAGGTAGCACGTTTGTTTGCAGCCGGCACTTTAGTGAATCAGACTAATTTACCAGGGATGCCGTATAAATAAATTTAGTGTAGTCCGTCATCAGTTCGCCAGCAAGATCGGTGATTCAACGGAAGTGGCAGTGCAAAGATCACTGAATCCGGAATTCCTATGTATCAGCGTGATAATCCCCTATTCAAATTCAACTTCTTGGGGGGTGGAGTCAATTCAATTTAAATTCCAATTCATGAATTGAATGGAGGCCAATTTTGCAATTCTGAATTTTGCACAAGCCTGCCACATAACACCAACAATTTGTCTTATTTTAAACTCCGATATTTCTCCCATTTTGTTGAGTTGATTGCAATTTCAAGTCAAGTCACCTTTATTTATATATAGCGTTTTTTACAATACAGATGGTTTGAAAGCAGCTTTAAGGCCCGTACACACCGGGACGAATATCAGCGCGGATTATTCGTCAGCGTTTTTAACGCGTTTTTTGTGTTCACACCCAAGCGTTTTTTGCTGACGATGAGCTGAGTGAACATGCAAATTCATTCCCTGACATTAGATGGCGCTTAATGTAAAACAGAAATAATAATATATACTAGGGTGATCATAGGCTATTTTGATTAACAAAAACCAGGACACTAATTAATAATTAATTAATAATTAATTAATTACATTTATATAGCGCTTTTCTCGGCACTCAAAGCGCTTTACATAGAGGGGGGAATCTCTTCAACCACCACCAGTGTGCAGCATCCAC